ACGGGGGAATGCTGATCCCCAGCGTCGGTGGCGGCGACGCCGGCTTGGGGACTTGAGTGGTGGACAGCGGGAGCACATGCGAGGCCGGCGTCGAAGGTAGCGGTGACTCGCTTTTGTCAGACGAGTCGAGCTCCTCCGTGAGCCCGGGCGGAAGTGCTGGTGATCCCGCGTCGTGCTCGCTCGATTCAGTCATAGTCATGATATCCACTGCCTTCACCGCGATATCCGTCGAGGACAAGGCTTGCTCTCGCGGACGCAACCCGAGCGCGGTCATGTCTAGGTCTACAGCCTGGTAATAGAGAACGTACGCAGCCCCATTCGTAGACTCGCCGTAATATCTAGGAATGTCCGATTCTTTGATGACGTCCACGCTGTCGTCGTCGAAGAGGAGCCAAGTTCCCCGCGCTTTAATGATTGTCACATAATGACCGTGGTGGGGACCGCTGTCAGCAATAAAGCTCGTGAGCAGACATATGATTCGTTCCATCCCACGCCACGCACTTTCCGATATGAACAACGATAGCGAACAACTCATACAGCCGATCGGGGTTTTCTGCGTCATCTACAGTATTGAACAAACGCAGCTCCAGAGGGAATGCAACACGATATGCAAGCTTGATATATTTTCCGACATCTTCCTGGTACTTGAATCGCTTGAGATGTAATGCCAGCACATTGGGCAGTTTTTTTATCTTCATACTATTTATGGCAGCACTTGTAAATCATCAAACCGCATATGATTGCGGAACTACACCCACCGCTTCTCCGCTTCTTGAAGATCGCAACACGAGTCGCAGAAGAACTTGTTCTTCTGGCAGAGCATCTCGCTTGCGCTGAACTGTCTCAGGCAAGCTGTCACGCTCGCGTTCTGTTCGATATCAATTGACAAGTCCAAAAACGACTCGTCGCGCGATGAGACCGTCTCGCACGTCAGACAGCGTGTCTCACTCGTCAATACGCCCTCGAACAGCCGGTGCACCAACGTGGGCTGGAACGACGACGATGGATGCGTGGTCGAGACTGATGGGGTGGAAGTCGGACCGCCGGCAGAAGACGATAGAGTAGCTATCGACGTCGACACTTGCAAAGACGCCACAGTTCACTCCCGGGCATATACGGACAAAGGCACCACTCACAATCTTCGCCGCTCAAACTCCCTCTATTCGCACTCCCATTAGCCTTCACTCCGTTCCGCCGGTCGTCCTCCATCTCCTCTACAATCTTGTTGAGCAAAAAATTTAGAAACTCGTGCGCGTCCTGATGCATGGAGCTGCGAAAAAGCTCATTCAATTCCTTGAGCTTGTCAATAAAGACTCGCGGGGAAACCGTGCCCTTATCAGCCGGGTTCTTGCTGATGTGCAGGAAAAGCGACCGCAGTGCTGACAAGAGTGTTGGCGGCGCAGATGGGATGGCTGGCGCCGGGAGCACAGGTTGTGGTGGGCTTACACTGACAGCGGGACCTGGCGACGGAGAAGGTTCTGACACGGAAAATCCGCGCTTTTTGCCGCGTATGTTGTTTGGCGGATTTGTGGGAGGCGTTACCATGGGTGGGGGGAGGGACACCAGGGGCGCGATAACGTCGGGAATGGAAGGGTCGGGGTATTGGGCAAGAAGCTCGCGAAACGGGCCACAGAAGTAGAGAGCTTGCAAGACAGAGTTCGCATAGCTGAAATAGACTGCAGTTAGCGACAAATTGTGACGACGCAGAGAGAAGGCATTTAAAGCAGAAATAGAGGTAGATAGCACTCCGCGAGGACAGATGGCCGCCCGCCCCACCGCTGTCTCGTTAAGTTTTCACCGAGCCAAAATCAGCGACCAGATTGTTGCTCTCCGGTATTGACAACTGAGCCAATTAGATCTCCTAGCCGTTGGAATTACCACGGTCTTTTCGACGTACGCGGGGCCACCGTCACGGCAAGAATGCATGTCAAGGCTCGCCAGCGTCGACCTTGCACCAGTGTCTTGCTCGAGAGACGCCCAAAATTCGAAGCTACTGGAGACCTGCGTGGTATTCCGACAATCTCCAGGCCATCGACCCATCACCAGACTTGTGCCAAGGCACGGTCTGAATCAACTCTGCGAGTGTGGCAGTGATGGAAGAGAGGCCTTTAGAATCCACGGGTCTCTTCGCAAATCGAAGAACCCATGCGCAGCGTGGCCAACATAAACCCGAGTCCAATCCGACGACCACGGACCATTGACGAATCGCTGATGTTGGCGACTTGGGATGGCTGGAAAGGCTCGACGGTGTAGATTGTCATACCCACACACGTCTCTGGCGATAACAAGCAGCTGCCGCAGCGAGGTTGATACGCGGTGCAGGGATAAGTGACGAGGTGGGGCGGCCGGGACAGCAATATCGGAGAAGAGCACTCACCATGTATTGCCAAACTATAGAAATCGAGGATCAGGCGATACATGAGACACAGTGGATGCAGAAAGACAGAAAACGCACGTTCTCGAGACCAAACTGCTTCGCATCTGCGGCGGAGACGGCGGGGGGACGAGCGGGCAGGGCGACGGGACTGGAGACGGCGCTTGGAGCTTGACCAAAGGGAATCCATTTTCCAATGGCCATAGTTTTCGCTCAAGCAGGGAGCGGGGAGGAGGATGTCCACGCTGCGGGGACGGGGAGACAAGGACGGGGAGACGGTTCAGGCAGTGGCTAAGTGTAGCTAGCTTGTAGCTAGCAGTCCGCGCCGCCCCGGCCCAAGGTACCTTTGTACCTATTTGGCAACTCCTCCCTCCATTTCATTCCAGCTGCAAAACCTGCGTTGTGCCCCGTCTCGCTGCGGCCAAGCATCTCCGCATGTTCTTGTCACTTCTACTTCGATATCCTGTGCGGCTGCGCACAATTTACAACGCAGAAGGAACAACTTCCATCCTCTTCTGGCGCGCAATAGCAGTGCTAGGCGCCAGCAGAAAGTGAGATCTGGCTCGACGGCACCGGGCGTTTCGCTTAGAGTGTGCCTGGTTCCTGTTCCGCATGTCTTTTACTTATCGCGTTAGTACTGTACATAGTAAGTCGGCAATGCTTCGGAATCTGTCTTAATTTGCTACTCCAATTCATTTTGCATAGGCCACCAGCACCCATGTCAACGAAGTCTACTTAAATTTAAGCAGATATTAGCAGAGCCATAGCGTGAGTGATGATTAATTTATTGCTGATATTGGTGCCAATCGTTGATCCAGCTGACTCGTAGTATTTATCCGCACCGCCCAGGCAAATCCAGCCAAGGTCGGTCCAAGTACCGAGCACCAGAAGGGCATTTGTAACGTTCCAGCCTGGATCCATCACCAGTCGTAAGATTGCCAAGAACTTCGACCGACGCTCTCCCGAATCCTCTCCAATGTCCAGGCCAAGTTGATGCAGAGAAGGAGCGGAGCGAGCAAAGGTGTGAAGAGCGTACATTCCCCCCTAAGTTTGGCAATCACAGTACCTATAAGTCTGACCTTCATGGCGTGGATCGTCTCCTATCTCAGGTCAACTGGAAACTTCGTCATCACATTTGGGTAATGGTCGTGCACGCGATAAAGATATGCTCTCTTCCTATAACCTTCCTGAGTTTCCTCATCATATCCCCAAGTCCATACAGCTGAAAATCTATTTGGGCCAGTTGGTCGCGTAAAACGAGTCAACAGCCAAGCGCGAATTTCATTTAATTCAAGGCAGTGAAGAACACTGCTGTCACGGTATACCGGCTCGGAAGGATCAGTCGATCTCATTCATAAAGCCGACTTGTATCTCTTGTTCTCTTGCTGCATCGCATGCCCGATCAAGTGTGCTCGCAGCACGACGAATGGCATTCCGTCAGTCCCTGAATTCGATAACAAGCTGAGAGCGCACTAGTGCCACGAATGAATGGGAGTGTTCCTTAGGCTTTCTCGCTATTGCTCATAATCGGATGCAGCAGATTTGGCTTGGCCGGGTTTCGAGCTATCGAAGCTATGGGATGCATAAGAGTCTTGAACGTGCTCACGCTTGCATATTCTTGCCACACTCCAAGCTCATACATCAGTAAATGCATCCAGTGTCGCGTTAGCAGGAATTTCAACATTACCCATCTATTCAGCCAACTTGCCTTTTAGTAGCTGCCATTTCTCGAATCTCTGGGGCCTTCCGATCAGACGCAGTCATCTTCCTTCGCCTTGCACAAGTGACAAACCACTGTCCAAATTATCTAATATTATCTAGCTCGTTGGCCGGAAATTGATTATTGTAGCCGACATTGGGATGCCTCCTGGATTCGGGCGAATTCCTGTATACCAATCTTTGTGCACACTAAACTCCAAGACGACGGTTCCGTCTGGTGCTCCGTATCATATCTTTCCACTTTTAAGTTTTTGTGACTGACAGTACAATTAAGCTCCAGAAGATGGTGTACGACAATATCAACATCGAGACCGCTTAAGTCGCACCAACCCTTTTTCGCTAACGACGCTCGAGACGAACATTGATGCCGCATTTACTCAACTACAGCGCTAACACCATCAGCGCAGATACTTCCAGCGGCTCGCACGCATACGGCTTTTATGCAGTGCTGAGTGTCTATATCATTATCAGGGCAATCTAGTAGCTACTCAGTTCGCAGTTCTTCAGAATTCGCTGACGTATAACTGCGCATACGAGAAACAACATCCCACGCAAGTCTGAGGTTTTCGCATACCACCTTGGCCTTATGGGATGTATATGTCGCAAAGAGATTCATGTTCGTGGTTGCGGATTTTGTGAGCTAGTCGGACAATTGCCAGCCAATCAGGAACGTTCAACATCTGAGACCTACACGTGCTTATCTCGGCGCTTCCCCAGGCCGAACCCGACTCGGTTTTCGCTCTTCCAGCTCTCGTCCACAACCGACTCGATCAGTTTATCGTCGCAGTGCCCGAATCAATTTCTCTCTTTGAAACAGGACCCTCGGACAGTTCACGCGTTGTTATCGCTGCCGTGACCCATCTCCATCGCCAACATTCTCCGCTTCATCAGTTCGCTGCTGCGAGCTATGCCTGGGCTGGCCGCGTCCCTACACTCGCCGGAGCGCACGAAGCTTGGAGGATACGATTTCTACCGCGAGGTGCTTGGCAGTCCAAAGTATGTTGTCGCGCCGATGGTCGATCAGAGTGAGCTGGTGAGTGGCTGTTTCCGCGATGTGACTTGGGCTAGAAGACGAGTCCGATACAAGGTCTGTTGCAGGCGTGGAGAAAGCTGTCAAGGAAATACGGAGCGCAAGTAGGTGATTCTTAGCATTGTTTTGGACCTCATTAGCTGATGCAGTCGCTGGCGGTGATTAGCTTGTGTATACACCAATGATCAACGCAAAGGTTGGTACATCTCGTTTGTGTTGAGACAGGCGATCTCAATGCACCTGTCTACGCTCAGATGTTCGCACAAGATATGCGCAGGCAATATAGAGAGCAGGCGTTCAACACCACGTTTGGGGAAGAAGGCGGGCCTGAGGACCGGCCGCTGATTGTGCAGTTCTGCGCGAACGATCCAGAACAACTACTGGTATCGGCAAGAGCGGTTGAGGGATATTGTGACGCAGTAGATGTCAATCTCGGATGCCCGCAGGATATCGCACGAAGAGGACATTATGGGTCGTTTTTGCAGGACGAGTGGGATCTGATATATAATCTCAGTAAGCCATTTGCATCAAATGGCGACATATGCGCATATATTCACGGATTTGTCTGTGGGCGGATTTTTTTAGTCAACACGCTGCATCGTAACCTCAATGTGCCTGTGACTGCCAAGTTCCGTGTGTTCTCCACGGTAGAGAAGACAGTGGAGTATGCAAAAATGCTAGAGAGGGCAGGGGCGCAGATTCTGACATGCCATGGACGCACGCGCGAGCAGCGTGGACACAAGAGTGTACGATGTTCGCCGTAGCTATTTACGACCAGGCAACTCACAATTCATGTATTCGACAGGGTCTCGCAGATTGGGAGAAGATACGTGCAGTGAAGGAGGCGGTATCTGTGCCAGTGTTTGCGAATGGGAACATCCTGTTCCACTCTGACATCGAACGCTGTCTGAAGGCGACAGGGGCGGACGCGGTGATGTCTGCTGAGGGCAATCTGTATAATCCTGCAATATTTTGTGCGGCAGATCCTTTCGTGTCTACGTCAGGACCGGCATCGAGCTCGTCATCGCCGTCCTCCGGCCCCACAAGTGGATCCGACGCTGTGTCGTTGTTGTCGGAGTATTTGACGGGTATGCATCCACGGTGTACGCAATTAGCACGGGAGTATCTGGCGATTGTCAAGTCACAACGCACGCCGACTGCCCCGAGTGCAGTGAAGGGCCACTTGTTCAAGCTGCTGCGGCCTGCACTCGGAAAGGAAAAGGACTTGCGTGAACAGCTTGGCCGTGCGCGGATTGACAAGAATGACGATTCGGTAGCCCTGACGCGGTACGGAGAGATCGTAGACGAGCTGAATAAACGTATGGAGGTGAGCGTGTGCCATTCCAGTCGAGAATACTCAATTCTGAGATAGGCTGGGTGTAATACAGCGAGATGAGATAGCAACAGAGGGCAAGGACCCAGGGTCGCTAGTCGTTACTGATGGACCGACGGGGCTCCCTGTGCTGCCACATTGGCTTGTTCAGCCATATTTCCGACCGCTTCCACCAGCTGATTCAGATGCGACGAAGGGAAAGGCCAGCGTGGAGAATGCAGCAGCTAGAGAACCGGTCTCTGCCATGGCGGAGGTCGCCCCAGGTATGCTCTTTCCTAGCCTTTGACCTGCTCTTCACGCGAAAAGCTAAGTATGATGTATTAGGTACGCCATCATCCGACGTTGCTACCTTAAGCGGAAAACGGTCAGTGACAGAACGGGCACCGGACCCAGAAGAGGACGGGCGCAGAGACCAAGGCAAACGCGTAAAGTTGGAGACAGTTGAAGGGCTAGCGCTGCAGAGTGAGTGAGACGTCCTCTGGGTTGTATCACCTAAGCTGTACGCTCTTATGAATCGGTGAGAGGAATGTTTTGCGGCGACGTCTGAATTCGCTGGCATATTCCATTGCTGAATGTTCTGTTCTCTACTAAGAATACACATATTATACGTTGCCATCTGATCAATACGACTACACACAACGCTTCGTCCGAAACCGCAGACATTCAATCATTCGAGAATATGATACATCTTTAGGAAGCTGGAGTCACGTACTGCCTAAATCTACCGATATAGAATCCATAGCATCGTCAGATGCAATGTACTGCTAGCCTGAGGCGATTACAGGGACCGTCACGACTTGCTTGAGTCATGATTAATCAGAAAGCGGCTCCTCCACCTCGACTACACCTTTTTGTTGTAAGTACTCGGAACGTAAAGACTCATCTGAGCGAAGCGGGCGGTTTTGGATAGCAAGAAGTCAAGGTTGTCCATCTTTGTCCTACCCAGTATTTGCGGCATGTGGCGCATCGCAGGATGTCTGTGTTGGTAAGTACCCCAAACCGGAGTGCTATCTCGGAGCCTACAGCGTGGCGCCGCCAGCTCTGAGAGCCGGATGAACTGCAATGTCTTCGCTTCAGCACAGGTGCGTGGGCGAGTTTCTGTACTATAGGGGAAAAGTTCATTGATTGTTCCGGCACAGGTTAGCGCCCTGACCACCCTTCGATCATTGCAAACGTCATCTTGTAGGCGGCTTTGAATCACCTCCCAGGTGCATATGGCAGCTCCGCTTCATATAACCGAATGGTTGATGCATATATCACCTTGTAATCTGGACAGAGCGTTCTGCAAGACCTACTGGCACGGATTTTGTGGCACGATCAACTCAAAGTCTTCTGCTGGGAAATTATTGCGTCTTATATTGATACCGAGCCTGAATTAAAAACTCGTGCCCTCGTATTTGAGCCTATCAACAAGCTTTCCAGTTGATGGCCCTGAAGTTCAATCTATATGTGTGTCGAAAGGCCAGTGAGAGTGCTTGGTCGAACAGCGTGACTTATGCTCGTGCTTGGCTCGTGGATTGATTGTTACGTGAAGGTATTTGAAATCCAAGCATGGCGGTGAGCATAGTTGATCTTCTTGTGGTCTTGGAGTACACGGTGATAGGCTACAATAGATAACAGACCAGTACACTGTGCCGCTCAGTGGCAGCCGCACTCAGGCCTATAAGTCGAGTTCCCGTTCAGCTCACACTGTATTCAAGATTCCCTTTACCGGGTTTCAACGATGTCGATCCCTACGTCAATGACAGCTGTATTGGACCGTCCAGAGTCAGTATGATGCTTTTCGTTCAGTTTCCTTGACTAAGATTTTGCGGTCATAGACCACCACTTTCGGATGGTTCCTCTCCTCTGTCGAGCTCGCCCCAGCTTATCACCACAATTGAAAGTGCAGCGTAAGTGCGATGGTTCTTGCCATTTCAGCTCACTCGCTGACGAACACAAGTGTTTCGATCGTCACATCTGCACTTTCCAACGAACGACCAAGAGGAGATGATGCGAAGTACGTCTACTAGTGAAAACGAGCTGTCAAATTCGTGGCTCAAGTCATCATTCTCGAAGTGTCTGTAATCACTCCACGCATTCGTCAAGCGTCCCATCGCGTGGTTCTGAAATTGAAGGGTGTGTTATAATCTTTGTTTCATCATTCTTGCGCTGATCAGAGTGTTGCACAAATTTCAGTGCCACTACATCTACCTACCCCGGCACAATGCCGCCGAATGATGGAGACAACATGTATGCATATCTCTCTATCTGTACGCGCGAAAATCCCACTGATCATAGCATAGGCCTAAACCGGCGAAAAAGACAAAGAAAAAGAAGTTGCGAAAGAAAGCTGCGACAAGAGAGGAAAAATCTGCGAGCACCTTGGATTCGCTTTCACCTACACCAGCGGAAGTTACTCACACGACGTTGCCGGATATCGATGAGGATTCTTCGCAATTGTTGCAGCGCGCCATGTCATTCATTGACGGTTATAATCACCGTGGCGACATCGCCAACGTTGACAATGCCATAGCAAGTTTGGACGCTGCTGCACAATCCGTGGCAGCGCCTGATTCACTTCGGATAACATGTCTAGGCCAGCTCGGGCTTGCGCTTGGGCATCGTTACGAGCGGCGAAGAAACCCTGATGATATTACAATGGCAATTGTGGTCTTCGAAGAAGTTCTTTCACTGATTGAAGATGACGACTTCCGAAAACCTTTCACTTTGGGTCATCTGGGTCGCTCTCTGTGGTCGCGCTTTAAGCAGCTGGGAGATCCCGCTGACATCCATAAATCCATCTCAATGATGCAGTTCGCGTTGCGGCTTACACCTGATGGCCACCCGGACAAACCCACTGAACTGAACATGCTCGGTGTGTCGTTGTTGAGCCGCTTTGAGCTCTTAGGCGACCTTGCCGACATCGATGAGTCGGTTTCCGTGATGGAAGATGCACTCCGACTCACCCCAGGAAGCCATGTCCGTCGACGCAACCATTTCAGCACCCTCGGGGTCGCCTACTTAAGGCGATTCGAGCGGCTGCCAGACGTTCTTGCCGATCGAGACAGATCGATATCAGCATTTGAACATGCACTACGGCTCACTCCGGATCACCATTGCGACGCTTCCATTGTCTTCAACAACTCGGTGTTGACCCGCTTTCCGCGACCAGATGACTTTGTTGACATCAGCGAGTCAATTGTGGCGAAGGAAGGCGCAGTACTGCCTCTCCTAGATGGAAGTCCCGAAACATCGGACACGCCCACGCGTGGAACACCCTGCCATTTTCATGAGCTTGGGATCATGTTCTTAGGATGCTTCGGGAAGCTAGGGGATCCCACCGACATTAACACATCCATTGTTCTACTAGAATATGCAGTCAGACTCACTCTTGATTCCCATCCTCACAAGCCTGACCATTTGGCCAGCCTTGGCACTGCGTTCTGGAGCCGCTTCGAGCAGTTGGATGACCACGCTGACCTCAACAAAGTGATTTCTGTAATGGATGAGGTGGTACGGATCACCCCCGATGACTATCCCGCCAAGTCTGGCAGTTTAAGCAATCTTGCGTACTCATTGTTTACACGCTTCACGCGGCTAGGCGAAATCACCGACCTTAACAAGTCCATATCTGCAATGGAAAATGCAGTGCGACTCACTCCAGATGGAGATCTTCAGAAGCCTTGCCTTTTGAACAACCTCGGAAAGTCGCTTTTGAATCGCTATGAAAAACTCGGTGACCTCGGTGACCTCGGTGACCTCAATACGTCGATACTGATATCAGAAGATGCAGTACGAATCACTCCCGATGGCCATCCTCACATGCATCAACATCTAAGCGATCTTGGATCCGTGTTCTCTGACCGATTCAAGCGGCTAGGCGAACTCACTGACCTTAACAAGTCCATATCAGTGATGGAAGAAGCAGTACGAGTCACTCCTGACGGATATCCCCAGAAGCCTTGCCGTTTGAATAACCTCGGCAATTGGCTCTTGGAACGCTTCGAGCGTTTTGGCGACCTCGCTGATCTCAATATGTCGACGTCTATATCCAAAGATGCAGTCCGACTCACTCCCGACGATCATCCTCACAAGCAAATGCATCTTTATGACCTTGGAAACGTGTTCTCTCGCCGCTTCGATCGATTGGGTGAACTCGCTGATCTCGACAAGTCTATGTCTATAATGGAGGATGTGGTACGACTCACCCCCGACGAACATCCTCAGAAGTCCTGTCGTTTAAATAATCTTGGGAAGTCACTTTCCAGTCGCTTCGAGCGACTCGGTGACCTTGCTGACCTTGAAAAGTCGATGTCTATATTAAAAGACGCAGTCCGACTCACCCCTGATGACCACTCCCACAAGCATACACATTTACACGACCTTGGAACCGGGTTCTCCCACCGCTTCAAGCGATTAGGCGAGCTCTCTGACCTCAATGAGGCCATATCTGTGATGGAAGAGGCAGTCAGTCTCACTCCTGATGGACATCCTCAGAAGTCTTGTCGTCTAAACAGCCTGGGGAAGTCTCTCTCGAATCGCTTCGAACGGCTTGGTGAACTTGGCGACCTCAATATGTCGATATCCATTTTGGAACAAGCTGTCTGGATCACGCCAGATAATCATCCTCATAAACCTCAGCATTTGATGGACCTTGGAAATGCATTCTCTCGTCGATTCAAGCGGTTGGACGACCTCGCTGATCTCGATATGTCGATTTCTGTACTAGAAGATGCGGCGCAAGCCATGCCTGACGACCATTCTAATAAGCCTGCTCATCTGAACAACCTCGGCAGCGCGATCCTTAATCGCTTCGAGCGGCTTGGCGATCTCGTTGACCTTGACAAGTCGATTTCTGCGATGGAAGATGCAGTACAACTTATTCCACCTGACCATTCTGACAAGCGTATGTGTTTGAACAGCCTCGGCAGCTCCATATTGTACCGTTTCAGGCTGCTGGGTAACCTCGTCGACCTCGATAAGTCAATTTCTGTGATGGAAGATGTAATTCAACTCACCCCCGACGATCATCCCGACAAACCTGGCTATTTCAGCAATTTAGGTAATTCTATCCGGCAGCGTTTCGAACGACTGGGAAACCTCGCTGACCTCGACAAGTCGATTTCTATAATGGAGGATGTGGTGCAACTCACCCCCGATGATCATCCCGAAAAGCCCGGCCGTTTGTCCGACCTAGGCGTCGGGTTCGCCCATCGCTTTAGGCGGCTAGATGAATTGACTGACCTCACCAGGTCGGTTTCGTTGTTCGAAGACGCTGTGCGACTCACTCCTGATGATCGCCCCAAGAAGCCTTGCCTCTTGATCAATCTTGGCCACTCGCTCTCCAAGCGCTTTGAGCGGCTTGGTGACCTCGCCGACTTAGACAAGTCTGTCTCCATGATGGAAGAGGCGGTGCAGTACACTCCCGACGGACATTCCCACAGGTCTAGCCATTTGAGTGGCCTTGGTAGCGCATTTTGGATACGCTACCAACGCCTCGGCGACCTTGGTGCCCTCGAAAGTGCCATGTTGTGTTTCTCAAATGCGGCGCGCTCCTCAGTGGGTCCCTCTTCTGCGCGTCTTAATGCATCTTTGCGATGGATTGCATGCGCTCGTCTTATGGATTCGAATGCTCTTCTTGATGCATATACCACGGCTATCAACCTTATACCGCAAGTAGCATGGCTTGGGTTACCCCTCCAGGACCGCCACCGCGAGCTCTTAGAAGCAGCCGATGTAGTACGAGATGCAGCTGCTGCCGCTCTCGAACGCGAAGACTGCGACACTGCCATTGAATGGCTCGAGCAAGGTCGCTCAGTTGTATGGAATCAGCTGCTGCAGCTTCGGACCCCACTTGATGAGCTGCAAGCTGATCATCCTGTACTCGCGAATAGACTTCGGCAAATCTCAAACGAACTGGACCAGGGCAGCGGTCATGACGTGGTCGGAATCGGACAAACGGAGCAATGTGATGGATTATTATCGGATGGACAAGCTCGACGACATCGTGCACTCGCGATGGAGCGCGACAAGCTTCTTGTCGAGGTCCGGTCCCTGCAAGGTTTTGAGAGATTCTTGTTGCCAAAGACTGTACAACAGCTTGCTCCTTCGGCACATTCGGGACCTGTCGTCATCCTAAACGCCAGTCGACACAGATGTGACGCGTTAATCATGACGACTAACTCGAACAACGTGCTTCACGTACCTCTCGTTGATATCACTTACGAGCAAGCGGCAAATATGCAGCAAACCCTAAATCAGTTACTCGCGAGCCATGGCCGTGTCATCCCATCCATTGACCGAGCTATGGCGTTTGCCTCAACGAAATACAGTCCAGAAGAGTTGTTCAAGCGAATTCTGTCTCGGTTGTGGACGAAAGTTGTTAAGCCAGTGTTGGACGCCCTTGGTCTCCGGGTACGTATTGCAGTTTGATAATCGATTAGCACTGAAGCGTGAGCTTGGAATTCAGGCTCTGAAAGACCCCTCTCGTGTTTTCTGGTGTCCTACCGGCCCGTTTTCATTTCTCCCCATCCACGCTGCAGGTCTTCATGACATCGCCGAGCCTGGATCCAAGCTTTCCGACTACATCATTTCATCGTACACGCCTACTCTGAGTGCCCTCGTGCCCCCGCAGGACGACGGCGCCACTCCAAGCAATACGTCCCGTACACACCTTCTTGCTGTCCCTCAGCAGAAATCAGATGGGCAGCGTTGGCTGCCAGGTTCACAGAGAGAACTGAATTATATGAGGATGACACTCGAGAGCCTCTCATCCTCATCCGTCTCTCTCATGGAGTCCAGTGGGACTGTGGAAGATGTGCTCGCCAAGATGAAGGAGTCAGATTGGGTCCATTTTGCATGTCATGGAATGCAGGACGTCCGCAGCCCCCTCGACAGTGGACTTGCACTCGCTGATGGCCGTCGGCTGAAACTGACCGATATCATCAAGCTAGCACGTCGTCGTCGTGGACTTGCGTTCCTATCTGCGTGTCAGACCGCTACGGGGAGCAAGAACCTTCCTGACGAGGCAGTTCATCTCGCTGCAGGCATGTTACTGGCTGGCTATGGCGGCGTAATTGCTACGATGTGGTCGATACAGGACAGTGATGCACCTGAGGTAGCGAAGAGCGTGTACGAGCAGTTGTTCCGGGAGGGCACTCCGCCCGACTACGGGCAGGCTGCGCGGGCATTGCACTATGCGGTTGAGCGTCTCCGTCAGGAGCGCAACGTATCTTTCGTGTCTTGGGTTCCATTCATACACATTGGTCTGTGATCAATTTACCGCATGGCCTCTAACTTTTCATAATTCGAGGTTGTCTGTTCTTTTGGCTTAAATGTATATGTGTTTATTGACGATGTTTCTAGATGTAGGGGTGGAACCTGTCGTACTTCTGGTGCGAGTAAGTGTGGCGGCGCGCCACCGCAGCTGGCGTTAATGAAGATTCACTGAGCAATGCCGAGTAGTGTGGAACCTATTGCAGCATCATCGGCTTCCTGATGAGGCCAGTACTGGATATCTTTTGTTCGCCAACAAACTTCCGAAAATCTCAGAGCTGCAAGTTACAACAAGAAACTGGACCACGCCGCTTTAGATTGGCCCAGTCAAATCGAAGAAAGATCGCCGCCCATGGACAAAACAGGCTTGACGGCGCGCGCGACACACTTGATAGAGGAACGCAAAAGGCTTCCTGCTGAGCTCGTGCGTTCATAGCCATGAATCGAGCCCTAGTAGCGTAAAGCACGCTCAATGGAGAAAAACGAAATAAATTAGTCGGTGGGACAAACGAATCCAACAGGTGTCTATGGGGCGCAGTTTGAATCGCATCGAGGGTGATATTGAAATACAGTCAAGAAAGCGGCACGTTAAACATTCAGCAGGCTCGAGCTTTCAGATCTCGTTATTTCTTCGTATTGTATATGAGACTTACCTGGCACATACTGCCACGTTTACAACCAAGGCATGTTATCACCGCCCATCATCGCATCGTCATGTTGAGATCCGGGCTCGTATGCGTGCGCTCGGGTCCGAATGCAAGAGCTCGTGCAAGCCCAATACCTGTGTCATTACTCACCTACACGACCGATGATGATCGCACAGGTTTGTCCGAGTCATGGATGTCAATTTGAAAAAAAAAGGCAGACGGAGACGCCGCAGAGAAAGAATTCGGATAAGTAGTTTCGACGCAAGCCAGGGTTCGGTCTTGATCACCTACAATTGAATCCTCCCGCTTGATCTCACTAACCATATAGATCATGACTACCCTTCCTCTTCGTATCAACCTTTCTGGGGGTGGAGGCTCACAGCCCATTGGACAACAGAACCCTATCTTTGATATTCTCAACGATTACCTGCAGCCTTCCAGTATCTTGTCATTGAAAGAGGCTACCGAGAAATTGGATCGATGCTGTCCCCTCCGCCGTCCAGATCGTGATAGTGCAAAGGAGCGGAGCGAGCAGGAAGCTGAAGTGGAGAGGTTTTTATGGGGAATGTGGGAGCATATCCTAATAGTAGCGACACAAGTCCCCTATAGACATCCTTCCCAAGACAAGCTCGCTGGTCTCATCTCGTCACTGAAAAATATTCCCTCCGACACTGTAGTGAAATTGTGGGGAACAAACATGAGGATATGGCAGGATCTACCTATGTTAGGGCCTAATATGAGAGAAGATCTAGACGGTCCGTGTTTATTTGCATTACAGAGTCTTATCGAGTCCACAGTCTGATACTTACTTCAGTGTTCAATCCTAAATCGCATGAGGGGGATGCTCAAGCACAGGAACGATGGCAAAGCTATAACGCATTCGTGGCTCGTCTTTTCCGTGATCGGACATTTGACACACCCCTGTATGCCTTATGGATGTTACGCGATATCCTTGAGGATATCGGGACGCGTCAGGACCCCATTTCCCTGGACGCTGGGCTTCCTGTTGCCGCAGAATGGATCTTCGTTGCAGGTTCCATTTTATACGACTTCTGTCATAGTCCAGACAAACATGAGCCAATCACCCACGACATAGCACGCGCAGCTTGTGGAGGTCGCAACTACCATGGGCCGCCGGGACTGTCGCTGGAACGTTGGCAGTTCTGGAAAGAGCGGTTTGCCTACATTCAAATCCATGAACCGGTCGAGGAGGAGACGAAACATTTGGCGAGGGAAGCAGTGGAGGCGATGAAAAAAATTGAGCGCAGGCAAAAATCAGGCTACAAAGGGTGAGGAAAATGATGACTTTACCGATATCAGTACAGTTTGAATTGGTTTGGTCAACCGGAGCTTCGTCACGACATCTGGGTGGCGCTTCGTTGCATACTGAGGGAAGAGATTATCATTCGTCTTGTGCTGTTGACCTACGGACTCCGCATCTAAAAAAATTGCTCTCGTACACCGTGCGGTTATGATAAATATATCATGTCAGCTCATAACAACTGAGCGACAAAGTGCATTACCCAATATACCATTACGATATTAATGAGGCGGCGACCGAAAGTTATGCCGAAGTGCGTTGCACAGAGTCGCAGTATCTTGGTAGAATGTGTGATGTGTGTGTACTGGCGGTTGCTGTTCAACTAGCTACCAGCAAGGCCCACATGAATCGGCCAGGTGGAGTGGTCGGTGCCAGCTGTTTTCACCGTCTGTCGTCTTGGGATCCCGAACGCAAGCTCCCGCGTGTTTTTCGTTCCTTCCTCGTTCCTACGTATGAACCAGTCATCATTATAGATAGGAAAGCCCGAGAGAACCCAGCTAGAGTCGCATAACTTGAAAGTTGACACAATCGCCAGGTTTTCTGCCTGTGTGGAAGACTCTAGTTTCTCATAGGCAGCACTGAAATGGCGACCCCTTGAGTGTAACGAGGACGGTTGCCATATTGAGGAAGACTGTTCAGGGCTGGCTCAGTGGAGACATGTTTGCCGCGGTCGTGACCCGGGTGACGGCTGCTAGGTACCGCATTCTTTGGACCTCACTCCTTCACTTTCAAAGCTCGGATAATGCACATACTAGGTCGGCAACAATTATAGACTTCACATAAGCTGACGTATCCAGCAAGAAGTCTACGACCGTGCTCCAATTTTGAATGGCCGGCTCTACTTGTCCGACTGCTGCCCACATCGCCTATCCTGGGGCTGACTCCTTACCAGTCCATCACGGGGCTGCGATTTTCATCATACGCAAATTCCCCTGGTGTAACTGCTATGATGCGGCATTTTGGATATGTTGAGTTTATATTGCTTGGTGAGGCAGATGGGGAGATGAGAGGGAAGAGGTTGTACGGTACTTGCTGTCTATGTATGCACGAGCACTGAGCACTGAGTATCGTTTTTCTTGCACTCCCTAGAGAATCTCGCTACTTGATTCGTTTCTCTCTTTCGGCTACAGTGCGTGTATAGTTCTGGTTAGGGTTGTCTCTGGTGTTAGATTCTAGGAGCTGGTGTCGACTCGTGAATACACGCTTGGGTCTTGGACGTCTGGATAGGGTTTTCTGGTCCGAGTGAGTGGCAAAGGTTTTCATTTGCCAGTTTCATAGCGGGTATGTGTGAGATTGACGTGTAGGCGGTCTTTCGTTCTCAGGGTTGGCTACACATGGGGACGCTCGGAAGTCGAGACGTCAAAGAGTTTTACTTGTTGTCAGATGCCCTCGTCCGCTGGTGGACCCGTCTAGATACTGAACGACTGACACATTGGTTACATGCGCGACACCATACGAGGCTCCCCCACTTGTGGGGAGCCAAGTGTATGAGTGGTCTAGTGGCAGAATGGATCCTTTGGAGGCAGGGTATGGTATTCCCCGAGTTCTGAAACGCCACTATCAAGATGCTCAACACTACATTTTGTATCTCCGTACCACTCTTCTTCCGCCTGAATTTGAAGATTCCGGCCTGTCTGAAAGAAGTTTTTACTGCTATCGAGGTATGACGTCAGCCTGCCGACACATCCCTTACGCTTTGTCCGCTCTGAGTTAAATGGCTTATGGTTTTTGAACAGCGACTACTCTTACAAACATACATCACAATTCTTTCAGCACCGATATCCATTCATATGTATGACGCTCTGCGTCACATAAGCCTATTCAGCACTACGTAGCCCCAAATGAGAACGAGACAGTAATTCAGGCAAATGAATATGAGACTCCGCAATGATGCGTCCTTAGGATGTACCCCGCTGAATGATTGGAACAACGATGGTATCCCAGATCATGGGATAGTTTACAGGGGCTTGTTTCGAAGCTCGGGTGTTATCAAACGGTGACGGCTGAGAAATATGTGACCAGTCGACGTATTCCGTCGAAAGGAACAGCTTGAGGAACCCTACGTCAAGCTTTTGCCCGTCCCGAAGGAAATACTCCCGCGGAATAGACCCTGAATCTCCATAACCTATGGTAAGGGAGCTCTGCTTTCGAAGGGGTGCATCAACGATACCCTTGGCGGTCGGTGGTTCATAGTATGGCTCTGCAGTAGTATTGAATACCATCGCCGATAATAAGCAAGCTGTTAAGCACACTTACCAATGCTGAGATTGCTGCTGTCGAAGTAAAATAGGGCGGGATACAGTGCCACCTCTGACTTGTTGACGATCTTCAAACCATATCGCGCGGTATCCTTGATTTGTAGGTCGATTTTATTGTTACAATTCAGATTGGGGCCGTACTTATGAAGGACAGGATGAAGATGGCCATCAAATTTCTCCTCGGACCCTTTGAGCTGCGTGAACTCGATGTCGACGAACTTTCTCATGCCGCTTCTCGCCTCGCTCCCGGGTTTTCGGCGAAGATGCCAGTAGAAGTGGGCAGCACTACGGACGACAGGCAGGACAGCGTCGACGGTACGTGCGACGGGAAATGGCATACGGGTCAGCCCATGCTGCGTTGTGTACCGATCTAAAATGTTGAAGACGATTCTCCCTTTCTCGAGTGCGATGCCGAGTTCCGCCTTCTCCTTCTCGGTCCGTATGATAGTTCTCCATGCAGGATCGCTCTCCTGCATTTCCTTGCTACGGGCTTCAAATTCTGAAGCAAACTCGCTGTCCACCGCAATGTGAATTCTGAGGCTTTCCTCAGCTCCCGTACGAGTCTGGAGAGCAAAGCCTTCCATATCAAGGGGAAAATCAGATCCCGGAGGGAAGGCGTCCATTTTTGTTTCAGCATTACCCGGCGAGCTGGCAATGACAGTTCCCAGTGGTTTCCCCTGCACGGATGGATACTTCTCTTTGTACACGGCAAAGCGAGCCCCTTTAGTAACACCTTGAGCTGTTCCTGCGCTCATGATGTATATGTCCCCATGTTTACGTATTTTGTGAAGGATGTGGCGCTGGCCCGTGGCTATAGCATTGAAATGGATTCGATTCTGGTTGACGCCCTCGCATTGAGGATGTTGTCTGTTTACGCGCGATTGGAGGGTCACGCACGGCACCGTTTAACTTGGAACGACAAGACTTACGTAGGCAAGTTTGCTATCCGCTGTACGACGTCCGCGTACGTGAGCTTGTCTGTCCCATGTTCCAAAAGGGCATCTATCAGTGCCTTCGTGAAGAGCCCTCTTCCGTCTCTCTCCAAAGCACGCTCTTCAGCACCACATGCACTTAGAAGTACGTGAGACCGGAGGCCACTGTGAGCAAAACCGGTAGCAATCGCCGTAGCACGATCTTCGTACGACAGTGATTGAAGACTCCAAACATCTTTGTCGAGGTCAAAGGGAATCGCTTCGATTTCGACACTTCGAACCATATAGGTAGACTCGCCATCATCGGCACGCGTTCCAGAACCAGAATGACAACAATCTAAGATGACAGACTAATGAAGATTAGCCGACAGACTGCAACAACGTGAGAGATAGACGAACAATATTGTCACCCTTCTCTCCCGCAAGCCTTGTGAGCAGTGCGCCTAGTGTACGATCCGGGATACCGTGGACTTTGCCACCTGCATCAAGGCTCGACTGATCGTACGGGACCAGAAGCTGGATTTCGCCCCCTCTGGCCTCCCAACCCGATGGTGCTGATGACTTTGAGCCATGTCCGGCATAGTAAATTAGAATGGGATCTCCTTTCTTAATGCGCTCGTCGTCCAAGAAAGCGCTGATTCCGTGAAGAATTGCAGACCGCGTGGCTTCACTATCGCGGAGAATCCTGATCTGAGAAATTGGAATCCCAACCTGCCCCAATAAGTAATCTCGAACTGCGTCAGCGTCAGGAACTGCGCCTAACAGGTTCGCGATAGACGCAGATTTGTAATTGTTGATTCCGATAATGAGGGCGAAGAGACGCGGATAAAGTCTGGTGGGTGAAAACTGGTGAGACGCAATGGAGCTTCTCGCTAGGTGAACATACTAACATGGGTGAAGGAGTTTCAGGACTGGGCAAGTCGGTTCGTGTCAGTAGCATGATTGTATGAATATATTACGAAAATAGACTATTTACCTGTCATTTTTGCCTTGTGTAGGGGAATCTGATTTCTGTTCACTGTGCAATCGTTGATTAGGCATTGTAAGAGCCAAAAAAAAATAACTTACGCGGATAGCACAGCTACTCGCTCCCAAGCGGGTCCTTGAAGGATGGATTCTGATCGTACTGGGGAACCATAAGTGGGCGGGCGTGGACGATTACTATGGAATAAACGTTCCATATGGTCAATACTAACGCGACCAATAACCAACTTACTGCAAGAGCTGGACAGCAAAAAAAACAAAAAACAAAAAACAAAAAAAGAACTGTAAGAGCTCCCAGAGAAACTCTAGAATGTGGCTGATGATGGAATTCAAGAATGAGAGTGGCATTGTGGGGTAATGTTCAGCTTGCGTATGAGGATGCTGCAGCCTCCCATCCTACTGTAGAGATCTTATGTACCGTGGTCGCAAAGGTCACCTCGCATTGTCTACAGAGACCGAAAGACTAATCAGCACAGGCTGTACGAGGCGATACCGTGGTTGAGGAAACTTTCCGTTATCATGTACGCACCAGTGGAATGAAATAGCCGCCGTCATTATGAATTCTGAAGAATAGAACCTGACCTGTCAGACCCACCAGGATGCACAGATAACTGCGATGGGGAGGCACACTTTGTCTTCTCATCTTCTCATGAGCGCAAGCAATGCGCAAGAACCGTAATGTGCAATGTTTGAGCTGTGAAGTTCGAATATTCTGCTGAACAGTGTGATTACTTCTCCTCTTGATAAATCGTGTGAGAATAACTGTTCACGCTTACCTGTCCGCCCGGCCATTGTGAGTGGATTTATGAAAGCAGGACACATGGAAGTGTGTCAGTGGCTATCTCCTAGTACGTGTGTAAGTAGTGGTCCTTGCGCGACGATCGTGTAAATTGGGTTATTTGAAATTCGAAGCGACCCTTCTGTGGTCCTGTGGTCCCGATACGTCTGGTACGGGACCACTCTTAGTCCACAATCACCGCGCTCAGCCTTTGATGCTCAGCGCTCAGCCATGTGCATGAGGTTTTGCCTACCGATAAGCCACCACCAGTCGGCACATGCTGCAGTGGCATGGCAGTTACGCTTGCCCCCCCTTCGAGTCGCACTTGCTCAAACGTGTTCGGGATTCTCTTTGCCCGTCCTGCTTCATCTCGTTTCCTAGGATATTACAATGATATCGATGCTTTTGGACTTCCTAGCGTGGTTGATGACAGTTGCGCCAGCACGTCCTCAATACGGGATGACCACGCTAAAGTCATTGAAATGCTATTCTTCTAATCTCCTTCCTTGGCTGATCTCTAAATGTTACAATTCTGTAGTGATTCACCTTTGACCGTCGCTACTATTTTCTCCAATATTTGGTGGAGACGAGATGAGACATGTGACCGTAGTCATTTGGATCTCAAACCTGAGAGCTAAAGTCATCATATGGCTAGTGTCTCTGACCATTCGCCGTATTCACTGGGCTCGCTTCTTCAAGCTTCTGTGACTGGGAATACGGTGTGCGTTTAATTGGTTCACCATCGTTCTTTATCTGACCAGTATAGTACACAAATTTACGGCACCACCATGTTCAACGTTCCCCGTGAGAGGATACTGAGTGATGAGAGCACAGTTATGTATGTATTTCTCTCAATATCTAGCAGTTTCACTGGTCACTAATTGTTGCGTAGGGCCGTAGACTCTCATTCGCCCGTGCCAGCAGAAGTCCATTGTTCGACCTAACAGGAGGGAGTCGCCGAGCTGAGGAAATTCTTTGAACGTGCCATGTCGTTGATCGATCGCTTTCATAAACATAGGGATCCCTACGACATGAACAATGCGATACCAAGCTGGGACACCACTACACAACTTATGGCAGTCACCAATATGTTTGGGTGGGATGTGTCAAATGTCTTGGCGAAACGCTCAAGGAAAGATTTGAACTGCTCAGTGATCTCAATGTCATTTCAGCCGCAATTGAGGTTCTCGAAGAGACTGTGGGGCTGATTGAAGGCGACAATTCTACAAAGCGTGTCATTTTGTACAATATCAGTGCCTTGTTGACGATCCGCTTTGAGCGCCTCAGTGACCTTGGTGACCTAGACGAGTCAATTTCACTACAGGCAGACGCACTACGACACTCCAGATGATCATCCTGATAAATTCACCTTTTTGAACAACTTTAGAATCTTGTTGTCTGACCGTTTTGAGCGGCTAAGCGTTCTTGCTGATCTCGACAAGGCGATTTCACTGATGGAAGACGCACTACGACTCGGTCCCGACGGTTATCCTCACAAGCATGCTTGCCTGTACAATATCGGTACCTCGTTTTCCAGCCGCTTTGGGTGGCCGGGCGATGTTGCAGATCTCCACAAGTCAATCTCAAGGATAGAAGACTCGCTGCGATTTACTCCGGATGACCATCCTGACAGGCCCATGTATTTGACCAACTTCGGCAAGTCGCTCTCCCACCGCTTTGAGCGACTGGGAAACCTCCCTAACCTCTACAAGGCAATTTCTGTGATGGAAGAGGTACTGCAACTCACACTGGGCGACTATCCTCAAAAGCCTGGTCGTTTGAACAACCTCGCCAACGTGTTGTCTGACCGCTTTTAGCGGCTAGGAAACCCTGTTGATCTTCACTAGTCAACTTCATTGATGGAAGATGCAGTTCGACTTACTCCAGACGGTCATCCTACCAAGCCCGTGTGTTTGAACGGCCTTGGGACCTTGCTACCGAGCCAATTCAAGCGGCTGGGCGATCTCACTGATATTGATGAGTCAATTCGTTGATGGAAGAGTGTGCCATCCTCGTTCCAGACGGTCATCTCAATTATCTTTACAACCTCAGCAAGTCACTTTCTTCGCTTCGAGCAGCTGGGCAGTCTTTCTGACCTTGACGAGCCAATATCAGCGATGGAGGACGCGCTGCATCTCTCGTCCCAGTTGACCATTCACGTAAGCCCATCATCTTGGGCCATCTAGGTCGATTGCTCTTGGGACGTATCGAGCGGTTTGGTAACCTCGCTGATATCGACAAGTCCATTTCGATGATGGAAGACGCGTTACGATTCACTCCAGATGACCATCCTGACAGGTCCGCGCATCTGATAGTCCTCGGAAATCTGTTCTCCCATCGTTTTGAGCGGCTGGGAAACCTACCTGATCTGAACAGGTTGATATCGGTGATGGAAAGTGTGCTACAACTGATTCCAGATGGCGACCCAACCAAGGTCATGTGTCTGGACAACCTTGGTAGCTTGTTCTTGAGACGCTTCCAGCGGCTGGGCGACCTCACATGCATCGACAAGTCAATTTCAGTGTTGGACGAGGCGGTACAACTGACTCCCGATGGTGATCCTTCCAAGCCCATGTATCTGAATGGCCTTGGTGCCTCTCTCATCTGTCGCTTCGAGGGGTTGGGTGACATTATTGATGTTGACAAGTCCATCTTAGTGCAAGAGGACGCAGTCCGGCTCACCCCGGATAGTCATCCTCACAAGCCTGTCTATCTTGCCAACCTTGGTGGCTCGTTCTTGAGACGCTGAGAACGGCTGAACGACGTTTCTTACCTCAACAAGTCGATTTTGGTAATGGAAGATGCAGTGCGATTCGCTCCAGATGAGCATCCTCTGTAGCTTGGTTTTCTAAACAATCTCGGCAACTCATTGTGGAGCCGTTTCGGACGGCTGGGCGACCCTGCTGATATCAACAAGTCGATTTCGGTCAAAGAGGACGCGCTGCGACTTACTCCAGATAGCCATCCAAGCAAACCCACCATTTTAGGACTCTTGTTGTGTCGTTCTCGAGCCGATTTGAACAGCTGGGCGATGTTACAGACCTCCACAAGTCAATCACGATTCTGGAGGATGCTCTGTGCCTCGCACCTGACGGCCATTCTGGAAAGCCATCTTTCCGGTTTAATCTCGGCGAGGCATTCTGCAGCAGCTTTGTGCACCTTGGCGATGTTTCTGCTCTCTACAACGCCACACTCTATCTCTCCAACGCCGCGCGTTCTTCAGTGGGCTCCCCTTCTGAACGCTTCAGGGCATCGTTAAAATGGGTTACCTGTGCTGATGTCATGGGCCCCGACACCCTACTCGACGCATGCACCACTACCATTGATCATTAGCTTGTAGAAACAGCAGATGTCGTACGTGACGATGCAGCTGCCGTTGCGCTTCAATGTGGCCGCCGTGACGCTGCCATCGAATGGCTCGAGCAGGGTCGCTCGGTTGTGTGGAACCGGCTGTTGCAGCTCCGTACTCCCCTTGATGGACTGCAGGTTAATCATCCTGCGCTTGCCAACAGACTTCGGCAAGTATCGAATAATTTGGAACAAGCTAGTGCACATGACATCTCTGAAATTGGGGAGATGCAGAAGGAAGGACTATCCATGAACGAAGAGACTCGACGACATCATACACTTGCACTCGAACGTGAAAAGCTTCTTCTCGAGATCCGGTCCCTACCAGGATTTGAGAGATTTTCACTGCCAAAAACGGTCTCACAGCTCACTTCATCGGCGCATTCAAGGCCCGTCGTTGTCCTGAATGCCAGTAAGCGCAGATGTGACGCATTGATCATTATGGCAGATTCCGATGACGTGCTTCATGTCACCCTTTCCAATAACACCTACAAGCAGGTGGAGGATATGCAAAATCTCATGAAGCTACTACTTAAAAATCATGGCCGTGTCATTTTCGCCTGCTGACAGGGCTTCGGAACGCGTGCAGATGAATCACAGTGCGAATGAATGTTTCAAGCGGATTCTCCAGATTATGGATGAAGGTTACCAAGCCGGTGTTGGATGCTCTTGCTTTCTCGGTGCGTAGTATAGCAGTCCTCTCGATGGAGACTGAGATACGATCTTATAATCTAGACTCCGAAATATCCCTCTCGCATTTTCTGGTGCCCCACTGGCCCGTTTTTATTCCTTCTCATCCATGCTGCAGGTCTTTATGATACCGCTGAACCTGGTTACAAGCTTTCAGACTTCGTCATCTCATCGTACACCCCCACCCTCGGAGCCCTCGCACCCTCACAGCATAAAAACGTTACCTCAAGTAGCACACGTCTTGCCCCTGTTCCTCAGCCCGAATCAGACGGGCATAGCCGGCTGCCAGGCGTGCAAAGAGAGGTAGACTTTATTAGAACGACGCTCGAGAGCCTCCCATCTACGCCCGTCTCCCTCATGGAGTCCAATGGAACTGTGGAAGACGCGCTGGACAAGATGAAGGGATCGGACTGGGTCCATTTTGCATGTCATGGAATACAAGACGCTCTCAGCCCCCCCGATAGCGGTTTGATGCTCGCAGACTGCCGCCGCCTAAAGCTGACGGACACCATCAAGTTGGCACGTCCTCGCGGGAAACTCGCGCTCCTGTCCGCGTG